ATGTTTGTGCAATTGTCCGAAGATGTTAAGCGATTGCTCACGACAGACAAATCTACGTTAAGTCTTCATATAAACTGTACAATTTGTACAACAACCTCGGAAAGAAGCAGCGCTTCGAGATAGGTAATAGTGCACTTGAAGTTGTAAAATACTATGTCTACTTAGGGCAGGTAATAACCGCAGAGCCGAACCACAAGATTGAAGTAATTAGAAGAATAAGAATGGGGTGGAGTATATTCGGCAAGCACTCTCAAATTATGACAGGTAGATTGCCACTATCCCTCAAGAGGAAGGTATATAACAGCTGTATCTTGCCGGTACTTAGCTACGGAGCAGAAACCTGGAGACTTACAAAGAGGGTTCAGCTTAAATTGAGGACGACGCAGCGAGCAATGGAAGGAAAAATGGTAGGTGTAACCTTAAGGGACAAGAAGAGAGCAGAGTGGATTAGGGGACAAACGGGGGTTAAGGATATCATAGTTGAAATAAAGAAGAGGAAATGAACATGGGCCGGGCATGTAGCGCGTGGACAGGATAACCGCTGGTCATTAAGGGTAACTAACTGGATTCCCAGAGAAGGGAAGCGGGTTAGGGGGAGACAGAAGGTTAGGCGGGCAGACGAGATTAAGAAGTTTGCGGGTATAAATTGGCAGCAGCAAGCACAGGACCGGGCTAAGTGGCGGAACATGGGAGAGGCCTTTGTCCTGCAGTGGACGTAGTCAGGCTGATGATGATGATGATGATGATGATGACGACGACAATTGACGTACTTTGCTTGGTTAGTTTATGGCGTACTCGGTTGGGCATTTTTGAGGCTCTAAAAAGTGACTGCGCCTTCGGTTGGTAGAATTCGAGCTCTCGGACTACCTTCGGTTGGTTCTTTCTGAGCGTCAGCCTCTGGCTCAGAGCGCTCCCGACCTCTCTGACTTCGAAGTGAGAGCATGGCGGGATCTGACCGGGAGGAAGGATCACGTGACACAAGTCGGCCAATCACGTGGTTATCACGTGGCCTACATCGACGGCATCCTTGTCTTCAGCCCCACTGCAGAAAATCACGAACTCCATCTGCGTCAAGATTTCCCACGACTCCGCAAATATGGTCTAGTTGTCAACGGACCAAAGAGCGAGTTCAGCGTTTCCTCGCTGGACTTTCTCGGCCATCATGTCGATTTGCGTGGGACCTCTCCACCGGCCACGCGTGTAAACTCTATGGCAGTGTCCACGACCAACAAGTATGAAGAAACTACGTTGATTCCTCGGACTTGCCAACCATTACCTGTGGTTTATTCCTCATTGCGCTGCTATCATGCAACCACTCCATGCTCTTCTATCCGGTCAAACGAAGCCCAACGCTTCTATCTTCTCGACGCGTGATGCAGACACAACTTTCAGTTCCATCAAGGAAGCTCTGTTTAACGCAACGCTCCTCGAGCTTCCAAATAGCGACGCCATCGTGCCACTCAAAATGGACGCCTCGGACGTCGCCATAGGAGCAGTCTTGCAGCAGTAGGTCAACGGAGTTTGGCAGCCGGTCGCTTTCTTCTCACGAAAGCTCTCACAGGCCAAGCGATGTTATAGCACATTCGGTCGCAAATTGCTCGCGGCCTATTTAACTGTCAAACACTGTTGACACTTCTTAGAAGGTCACCTGTTACATATCCTGACCGCTCACAAGCCGCTTACGTGTAATTCGATCACTACCAACTCTTCCCACACCCCACGTGAAATCCGCCAGCTTGCCTACATATTCGGGATCATATCCGGGACATCACTGGCAAAGACAATCCCGTTGCTGACGCGATTTCCCGAATAGAAATCAACTCAACTATGGATGAGCACTCACCAGTCGATTTTCAGCCATGGCTACTGCACAACAGGACGACAGCGAGCTTCAGGTGTCGACTTTAAGGGAACTTCCTCAAGCTCGAAGATGCCCAACTTCCAGGCTGTGCGATTCTCTCATTTATGACACCTCTACCGGTTGTCATTGCCCCTACGTTCCAGCACCATTTCGCCACAGAGTATTCGACGCCTTGCATTGCTTGACGCACCCTGGTATACGTGCGACGCAGCGCCTCATCACACGGCGATATCTATGGCCTCGAATGAACATTGATGCCGCCGCTGAACACGCGATTGCCTCAAGTGCAAGCTAAACAAAGTCCAGTGCAACATGGTAAGCCCTTTGGGTACCTTCACGCCTCCTGACTCGCGGTTCAGTCACGTGCACCTGGACCTCGTCGGCCGTTTGCCCCCATCGCAAAACAGCCGGTATATGCCAACTTGCGTAGACCGGTTCACGCGGTGGCTCGAGGCACTACCGCGCACCAACATCACGGCCGAGCCAGTTGCCTGCCGACTCATCACCGAGTGGATAAGCCGCTATGAAGTTTTTGAGACCATCACAACGAATCGCGGTCGTCAATTTGACTCCGCACTCTTCCGCAACTTGTCCCGAATGCTCGGTGTCAACCACATCAGGAAGACGGCCTACCACCCGATGTCGAATGGCATGGTTTAGCGATTTCACCGCCAACTCAAAGCTTCGCTCATGGCTTCGCGATTGTTGAAACCCTGGACGGAGTGATTACCACTCGTCTTCCTCGCTCCGCAGAGCATGATACGTACGGACGCGTCCTGCTCCTCAGCTGAGCTCGTAATTGGCAATACCCTAGGGCTTCCTGGAAGTTTTTCGACACGTCATCAGTATCACCATGAACGTAGCTTAATATGCCAGTCGCCTCATGCATTTCATGAGAGATGTGTCCCCTATTGCTGCATATTAACACTCATGCCCAAGTTTCGTCAGTCGTGCACTCCGCGACTGCACCCAGTCTTCGTACGACATGACGCAATCAGAACACCACTGCAACCTCCTACGATGGACCCTTTGGGTCGTCAAGCATTGCCCGAAGCATGTAGTTCTGCTGCTTAATGGAAGCGAAGACAGTGTTTTCATTGACCGCATAAAACTGGCTTTCCTCGACACTGACGTCGTCCTCGAAAACTACAAGCCATCCACGAAAAACAGCCGAACGCGCTTGGCAATAGCAGAACCTACAACCTGCTCATACGGTTCGCTCCTTCGCGCACGGGCTACCTCACTAGAGGGTGGGCTCTACGGCAAGGCCGCATGTTTGCTGCTCGACATGTTCGAACCAGCACGAGAGAAGAAGGCGCCAGCAAAAACGACAGCGTTTTCGGACGTCCATGCCTGAGGAGGGATAAATAAAATATGTAGGAAACCAAACGCCCCAAGTCTACCTACACGTGTATGCGTTTTTTTGCGATTATAATGTGTGTGCCGATGTCCGTTACGTATATGTGACATAAGTTTCAAGCAATCAGCGACACGTTCACTCTTGAATTGTCAACGAGAATGCTCCATTTTTCTGATGTTAGTTCATCATTCCCACCCATTCAAGAACGAAATGATGGTATCTTCGCGTAGATGACCTATCAGCAAGACGCTGCTCGCCAACATGGCGCCAAATCTCAAGCACTTCCCCAGGACGGGGGTCGACCCACTAATCACGCACCCTTCGCTGCAGCACAACGTGAATTCAAAACGAATAAGTGAAAACCAATTAGGTTTCACTGCCAGGGCCGGCGAACGCGTGTGGCGTAATGTAAAATGAGCGATGCTCTTGTGCATGCAATGTATAGTGTCAGCGGAAAGTGTATCCAATCGCGAGTCATTGGTAGAGACATTGTTGACATCTGGTGGCATTAAGACATACCACCAGATGTCAACATAGGTGCATAAAATTAAAGGCCTGGCGAAGTGATTAAAAAGTAATAAACAATGTGAATCTGCACAAAACATCGAAATATTTTTTTTGAAAACTCTTTTCATGCATTATACCAATTTGTGCATCCAAAGGATAAGCCATAATTTTCCTTCTCATTGATATCAGTCGTTAGTTGGTGATAAGACTAACGCCCAATCGAAAAGCAACTGTGGAACGTTACGATCACTGTCAATGCCTCAGAAGGGAAATACAAAGCAAGTACAACGATCTGTAGTACTTATGTGAGCAACGGAGTGCATGACGAGTACATAGATCTCTTGAGCATGGTAGCTGCTTTCAGCTGGGCGACCATGTTCGTTATTCTTTTGGCAGGGCTGCCTACCTAATTTATCATGCTTACTGGACATTAAGATGCTCGTTGTACCAGGGCCCATAGCGTCGATGTGAGCAGAGCAGTCTGTGATGCGGAGGTACACTAAGAAACCAAGACGCTCCATGTGAGATAATTATTTTCTTTATATATGTGATATTTTCCTTGAAGTGAGATTCAGTGGCGGTGGCATTAAAATGTAGGCGACGCCCTAGATTTCCATGTTATGTATTATTTAACAGATCATCAAGGGAAGCCGTCCAGTCACACCACCGGGAATTCTAAGGTTGACTCTTCTCATGCACCCTATAAACAAGAAAAGAGGGTCATGGCGCTATGACTCTCTTCGGTTATCTCTCTGACCCCATGTGGAAGGTGTTAGCAGAAAACGACAGTCAAAATTTGTTCATGCATCCATAGGTTCTTGTGAAACACCTTTCAACTGACTTTCGCGTTGAGGACATCAACGCATACGTAGTACATTACACATGGCTGGCGCTTGGTGCCGTTCGCATACGCTTTGGGCTCTGGCGCCACAGCTTGCCGTCGGCGCGATTGTGGCCGGCCGCTACGGCGCCTCCTGAACGGTCTCCCCTGCTTTTTTGCAGTGTGTTGTGTGTCTTGTAGTTTCCCGAATTCCCACGCCAAAAAGCCGCCACCCTTATTCATGTCAGGAAGCACGTTCTCGCTTTCTTCACATTTTCGAAACCAAAGCAGCTCATGGAGCTGCCCTGTAGAACTTTTATCTGTACAACATGTTGGTACTGTGACTATCCACATAACCTTTCTGTGTTTCTCTAAATTTACTAAAGTTTAGCCATTGATGTGAAACACATTTGAGGTTTTATAGTAGCCCTAAACATTTAAACAATGCTTACCGGATAAGGAGGACCTCGCTTTTCACCAAACGATTCACCTGGGCGAGAATAAAAAAAGCAGTATTTAGATCACTTGAGATGTCCTACTTCTCGTAATTGAACTTTGAACTTGAACTTTATTTATTCAAACATAACATCATTTGGGATGCTGAGGGCCCTGTGCGAAACAACTCTCGTGAATTCGTAAATAATGCGTAGGGATGTGGGCCGTCTGCCTCAAAGGACTGCTGCAGGCCGTACAAAAACTCCAAGAGTACTTTTTTTAGAACTATAAATGAACAGCGGAACTCGTGGGTCAACACACGATCTATTAACCTATGCCCAGGCTAGGGTGGCTAGAATGGGGAGGTGTGATGAGCGCGGCGCTTTTCGCTTGCCAGAGAAGGTCCTTGCCGCTAGGGGCGCTGATGGCAGCGGCGTGAGTCAGTTTCGACTGTCACGGTGGGTGGACGTATTTTTTGAGTTCCCGTTGACAGCGCAGATAAGTTGTTTTGCATGTTTTGAGCTTGTTTTTATAATTATAGGGCAGCAGTTATAATTCCTGTAGCACTTATTTTATTGTACGCCTTTTTTGGGTGTCAGTCACCAGGTATTTATTAGTTTGTGCGTGCGAGTGTGTTTGTTTTTTGTTTTTTTTGTTTTTCGTTTTCTTTTGTCCCCCCGTGGGGGAAGTGCACGTACAGTAAGCACGCAAATTTTTGTAGTAGAGCTTAGGCTTTCTCTTTTTCGTAGGCCAGGGCTCGAGTTTTGTAAATACCGAGTGAGACAAGTCATAGGGACAATCGGTGTTGAAAAGACATGGTTAAAAAGACTGTGACGTGTTCCGGTTGTGGGGTTGGTTTGAAAGTGGACCCAAGTGTAGAAGCGGAAGAAGAAGAGGATGACGCGAAGTGTAGGCAATGTGAGGTCAAGGAAAAAATGGAGAAAGTGATGGTTACCCAGAGTGACCTGCTGATGAGAATCAACGAGCTTCAGACTGCGTGTGCGAGAGAGCAAGAGAAAACGAGGGCTATGGGAGAAAAGCTGAAGTCTGCCGAGAAAGCACTTGAAAAGGAAAACAGAGAAGCAACCTACGGAGAGAACAGCAGGGAACCGGCAACAAGAACTGCGGAGAAGAAATAGCAAGCAAGTTTGGAAAAAACAGGTTCAGCCGGTTCATTTTTCGGAAGGCGCGGCTTCAGCGAAGTAGTGGTGGGGCTGGGAGGGGACAAAGCAGCCGGCGTCACAGGTGCAAGTAACCCCTAGGTGCAGGACGCTCTAGCTGAAAAGTCACAAAATGTGATAGTCGCCAGGGACTCAAATATATATCGATGCACAGAAGCCATCAAAGAGAGGGTAAGAGGTGACAAGAGGGTTGCAGTAGGGGCGTTACCAGGACACAAGCTGGAAGCAGTCATGAGGCAAGCGAGCGCAAAACTCAAAACTACAGCAGATAGATGAAACCTCGTGATAACTTCAGGCGATTTAAACGATGTCTTAAATGAAGATACAGCAGGACTAGTAACTACACTGGCAAAAGGCGTTGATTACATGCGCGCCACTTGTCCTAAGAGGTACAGGTAGTGATATGCACAATACCGGAGGTACTGGTGCGTGATAGCAACCTGCAAAGAGCGGTTGTCAACGCAAACCAAGAGATATGATGGATGAGTCGAGAGAAAGGCTTTGAGGTGGTGGAAATAAACAGAGAGGTGCATAGGGGGGTGGTTTTCAACGAGACAGAATTCACCTTGATGGGCGGCTAAGTCATAAGTTGGTTTGGTGACTTGCAGGACGCTCAGTAGCTTTTTGGGGGCAAGCGGGCCCTTCGGGGTGCAGGATAGCTAGTAACGAGGAAAACAACGAGGGAGACTATTTGACAAGTGGTATGGACAGATACGATTCCAAAGTGGCACCAGTATCTAAGATAGAGTCCGGGGCAGAAATAGACGCAGCCACGAGCGCCGAGCCAATTCAGACATAGGGTATTTTAACATGCAGGGCGGTAGGAACAAGCTGAAGTGGGACAAGATAGAAGAACAGCTAAGGGAGGAGAGGCCGATGGTATACGGTTTTGTAGAAACACATCTCAGGGACATGGAACAACCTGCTAACAATGCAGACTACACATGGGAATATTGTAATAGAACAGAAGGCAGCAGAAAGGGTGGTGGTGTTGGGGCATTCATTCATAAAATACAGACTGGCAAAGGGTCAAGCAAGAGTGGAAGGAACATTTATGGCTAAAAATGAAAGTGGCAGGGCAAATGACACTCCTTGGTTTCGTGTACTTGTGGACGGGAGCAAAGGCCAGAGAGGAAAACCAGGCAATGGTAGAGTGTATGTCAAAGGACATTCAGGAGTTAGGAGGAGAGTGCGAGATAATTATACTAGGAGATATAAATGCACACATACAGAACGTGATAGGTAAACCAACCCGACAGGCAAAATGATCATGAATATGTGTGAAAGGGCCGCCGGGCTCACGTGCGAAGCGCAGAAGCTCTCTCTGGGCAGTGCGGGTAGCGAAACAATAATCCTGACCACTATTTTATAAGTCCGGCATCTTTTGCAAAATATCCTAGTTTAATTCACCTAAATCAGCTATAGTTGTTCTGGTCAGAGACTTTATTGCTTTTTTTCAATAAGTCGATGAGCACGGGAATGAAAGCTGAAAGGATTGACAAAGTACCGACCCGGTCACAAGTTGGCAAAGTAGCAATACGCGACACGCCTGCGAGTCCACACCGAACGTCCATGCCTCTGAAAAAGGCAATCTTTGTCAAGGCCAGCACGCGAGCCCGCCTGATGCGAACCACCCAACGGCGTCATCACGCGCCGGTCTATCGCACAACGCACGGCGAGCCCCCTCAGCCCACGAGCCCGTTGCAGCAATAGGCACCTTCCAGTCTGGCGAGTCTTACGCAATGCGAGGTGGCGTCACTCCTCCTTGGGTGCAGCGGCTCCAGGTTTGATGAGAATAACGCGACCCAGCGGTGAGCCTATTGGAGGATTCTGACCTCACGGCCAGCGGCGCTTCTGGTTGAACATTTGGTTACTCAAAGAATCCCACCCGGTGCCTTAAAAACAGCCCCGCGGCGTGTCGCGAGCAGTTGACTTATGTGTCAGAAAAGAGAGCTCGGCTATTCGAGTGTCTGAACTGTGGGCCCCAGTGCCAAATTTGTAACGCCTCTGTATCTATGCTGTACATAAACCTTGTTTAACTCACCGTCGTGTCGTCCACTCGTCTATCAGCAGAAGCAGTCGCGAGCTGAGAAACCTACTCTACCAGACGGCTGGTGACCGTGTCGGCGGAGTTCGAAGCAGTAGCGCCTTCGAGACCGTGTTGGCGTCGCCGTCTTTCGTAACAATGTAGAATAGTAAGTAAACTTTACATGTATAAATTGACACCAAGTACGAATACAAGAGATATGAAACAAAGCTCCACAACAGAGAGTGAGGGAATACATATGTTTAAAGACTTGGCATGTAAAATAAAGCAAAAAGCAATAAGTAGAGTGACGAAAATTCCGCGAGATGTACTATTCGGGAAAGTGAATGAGCCGGGCGAAGCATCTAATGTGAGGAGTTTGATTATTTAAAATTACATATATCTACAGCGCCCTAGTTGGGTATAATTCGTAAGGAACTATTTGCGCATTATATTTAATGAAGTATCTGAAATCGATTGATATGTGGGGTTTAACGTCCCAAAACGAAGTATCAGAAATCATCAGGATCAAAACTATACACTGGTACACAGATACATCACAGTAAAAGAAACAGTAATAATACACTATTAAGAATTGTAGAAAAAATGTGCAAGACAGCCAGTTGTAGCGACGTTTCTTGCAATACCTAATAGATTCATAGGAAGTTATTAATGGCAGAACAAAAGACGAAGTATCAGAGCCTTTGTGGTTTCAGGTGATCAATAGGTAAGGTAGCCTGTAGGACAATGTTCACCCTAAACGCTTCTAGGAATAGGTAAAATCCACATTTAATTCTTCGTGCCTAGTGAGACAAACACTTGGGTTTACGTCTATCTTAGCAAGATTGATTATGGTACTAGAACCATGTTTAACGAATGCTTTACGAGATGTGAAATATAAATACGAGGTTCATTAAAATGATATTCAGGCTACCGCAGCGCGAACGCATTGATTCAAACTTCTGATCTTGGAGTATAATCGATAAAGAACTCCAGGTGGTTGAAATTTCTGGAGCCCTCCACTACGGCGTCTCTCACTATCATATGGTGGTTTTGGGACATCAAACCCCACATGTCAATCATGGAGTATAATCGAAGAAGACGTACGTTATTTTTATTATGGTAATGGTAATGCATTGCCTTTCTGGTAGGCAACATAGGATGGTAACGCGAATATTTATTATTAGCGTAGTGAGTAACCTGTTGGTTACATTTTTGGTACTGTATACCACACCACTGGTTTCTAAACTAAATTCGCCAAAAAATCTCTCAGTCCAGGCAGAAGTGGTATCTTAGCGGAGCTTTGCAGATCGGTTGAATTGCCTTGGTGTAATGTTATTGACTCACTCGATCCCCCTTCTTTTTAAAAGGCGTACACCAACCATAATAATAAAAAAGAGCAAATAGTAAAGCTATGAGTGTTGTAGTGCATGAACACCTGACATGCATGAAAATAAAGTGTTTTTGTAAAAACTGTTCGCAAATCTGCTGCTGGAAACATGGTTATTGCGCTGATTGCGTGTAACTGTGATTGACGGATCGATTGATTGATTGACTGATATGTGGGGTTTAATGTCACAAAACAACCACATGATTATGAGAGACGCCGCAGTGGAAGAAACCTGAAATTTCGATCACCCAAATCTTAGAATGAGTATTTTAAAATCTTAGAATCTTAGAATGAGTACTTCACTCAAACTGGTACATTCGGTGGCCGATGTTGAACGCTAAGTAAGTATTCAAGTTGCGGCGTCCGCAAGATTATGCGTTAGAAAGAGCGAAACGGAAATCTGATACCAAAGTTTTCACTCGTGGTTGAATGATTTTAGTTTGTTGAAATTAATGTGA